CAGGATAACAGTCCAAAAAGTCAAGAAACTAGCCAGCGACAGGAATGCAGTCCCAGTATAAAAGGAACACGCCTAACCACCCAACTGGGACAGAATTAGTGCATGTGACATGATGTCTTATACACCTATGTAAATACTGGATATGCTGATAAAAGTTTGACCTCTCCAATTCAATTCCTTTTCAGAAAAAAAGCTTCAAGCTAGATGCATATAGGAGAAACCCACTGAATGTATTTCTGTATGTATTGCTGGGCAGCGGATCTACTGTGCAAGTCCTTGCCTCGGAAACTTTGCAGACATTCAAGGAAATAGTAGGTGACCAAGACAAATTTCTTTCAAGGACAGGAAAGGTCTCTCAAAGCAAAACCAAGCAAAATCATTACATGCTGTGTGCTTTCTTCTTTCTAGAACATCAGTGTAGCTTTCCTGTGCATATTTATCATTATTAGTATTCATATTCCATGCTAGTAAAAAAATTCACGACGAAATACTTCAGCAGTTTTCATTTTACCTGTGTTAGAAGCTTTTCTTTCTCTTCAGTTTCTTCACTATTCAGAGGCATTGACTCATCTATCTTCTTTTGTTCCTCTTTTTGTACCTGAGCTGCATTCGGGAGGTCAGGATTCCTGGGGACCTAAAATCAGGGGTATCAATAAGCAGTAGTGTAGTGCAGCAATGGTATTAAAGAGACTGTACACTTTTCTGTCAACCTTGATTTACAATTTATAAGCACGTTAGATCTCACAGGACTGTTATACTCCACATCCACTAAGAATTTGCTGTCAGAGAAGAAAAAAAGACACCCACCACCCCACACCTTGGCTACCCTGAAGAAACCAAACCACAAAAAAAGTATTTTTTTAAAATAACTACCAGAATACTTTTCAGCTTTTTACAAAACTATTGCAAAATTGAAAATATTTTATCTTGCCATCCATATAAATTTCTTTTTGCTTCAAACTAAACTTTAAGACTCTTCCTGCTTTTTCTTAAAAATATTTTTTCCTAATATTAATCCTACTCTTTTGCAATACCAATTTCTTATCTGTTGCTTTGTATGACAAGTTTATGTTCTCCAACATATTTTATACAGGATTTCTTGTTGCTGCAGCCTGCCATGAAACATGGGGCTTTTTGAAGTTACATGTCGGGAAGTAGGGGATCCATGTGATTTACTCAGCTAGCACTGGCACAAGTAATGGAAAACAACATCAAAACAGAATCCGTGTTCACCATTTCTCCAGTAATGTCAGCAGGGAAGACTGAGAAATTCAGCTAAGCCATAGTAGGAAAAAAAAACAGGTAAGTCTGCTGACTGGTTTTCTTTTTGTAGTAGTAATATATTCAGACTTCTCCACACCTTTAAACATTTTATACCCCAGCAAAACGCAAGGAAAATTGATGTCATTTTGTTTACCACCATATCAACACAAAGTCAACTTGAATCTTACCTTAAATTACTTTCCGCAGAAGATATACAAAAGGTATAACAAAAAAAAAATCATACCCTGGAAGGTGATCTTATATTAGCCAAAAATTATTTTCTCACCTTAGACCACATATCACACTTTTGGTCTTGAGGAGAAGTATATGAAGCATCGGAACAGTCTTTCTTTTTTCTGCTCTATTTTATTGTTAGGAACCCACCTCAAAACACAAAGCTACACAGATACCAAATTTTTAATGAAGGAAGGAATTACAGATTACTTTTTTGTTCCACATTGAAACAGAAACAGGGGAATAGAGGTTTTAAGCCATTGCCTTGACAATAAGAAGCACTTTGCAAAAAATAAGACCAGAATGATACGGTTTTTAGTTGCAGTCTCATTTACTTAATTTAGTTATTGTCAATGTCAGTAATCTGCAAAGAGGAACACAAATACACTTTACTAATTTGAAGGAAAAAAAAAAGCATTACCTTATATCCTATTGTCTTACGATAATACAGAATTTCTTTTTCCAGAAGTTCAAATAACCGTGGAGGGAAAAACTGGAAATCTTGAATATTTGGTTGTTTTGGAGGTCGTGGAGCCTTCAAAAATACACAGGTACATTAACATTATATAAGATTGATTTCTCTGCAATACAACTGACATAACTGAGCAGCAGTGGCAACCTATCACTTTGCAAACAAACTCATTTTATTACCTGTATAGGGTTAGAGCAGGGGATACAACATGGGAAAGGAGAAGAGCAAAAAAGAATATAAAAAGCTTGCCAACTCCTTACCTTTGGGACTTTTGGTTCACTAACACGCAGGGCTTCTCTGAAATAAGCATCAACTGCGTAATTAGCTTTGCGTTCTCGTTTTGGAGGCTCTATCCATTCCATCATGCTCAGCTACATGTAGAACAGAATAAAAAGATACTAAATTAACTGCACGCATACTAAAGTGGCAAAAATAATGACTAATGCGGCACCACAAAACAGGGATGTATTTTTTCACAGCAAATCTAATAGCTGTGCTCAACAATTTGGATGCTACAACAGTGCTCAAAAATAAGGTAGAAATTACAGCTGTTTATAACATGTATTTAAACACATAAAACATAATACACAAGTTTAGGGAGTGCCAGCTGCATGGACAGATCCCTTTAGAGTATTCTGCTTACTTCAGACACTTGAACAAAGTTATGATTCCATCTACCAAAACACAATGGAAGGACTGGGGACTTGGGCTCTGAATTCTGGAATATCTTGTGATATAAATTAATTGCTTCTCCTCTAAATTTCACAAGGAATAACCTCTACAACACCGGGGGGAAAAAAAAAAAACAACAACATTTGCAGCAAATTAATCTTAACTACTTGAATTAAACTTACTAAAGCATATTTCAAGACTATGATGTATTTATCTGGCTTCTCATAATTAAATTGTCACCATGAAAAACAATATTATGTATACACACAAACCCCCCACTTTGTTCTCACTAAATGTTTTTCTAAATGTTTCTTGAAAATTTACAAGAACGTTGGCTTAGACGGACATTCTGTAGTTAAATAAGAGTTCATGCATCTGATTCCAGATAAGACCTTAAGGATATCTTGACTGTATGTCCTGTATAAAACACAGAGGTAACATTGTGGGACCTCAAGTAATACCTCTTTGTTTGGATGATCCTCCTATAATTAGGTAAATTGTTGTACAAATAGTTCATAATAATGTTTGCAACTAAAACTTTTACTGCAAAAAAGACTTAAGTCCAAGTTCCACACATAAAAATCATTATCAGGCCGGTTTTTTCCTCTCGCTTATGTCACAGTGAAATAATACTGACTGCGGCAGTATAGTAGGATATAATATAGTATTTTTGCTGCAGAAAGGAGAAAAAATGAGCAATATTAGGGTAGGGCTGAAAGCTAATGTAACAGAAGTTCAGAATATTGATGCTTCTGCAGAGACAAGTGAATTTTTCAGTAGCTTCTTACTTCTGTAGAATAAACTGTAGTTCAGAAATGTTATGGCTATGAAGTCTTAAAGACTAAGAAAAACTACCTTTTGTTTTTCTCTATAATCTTCACCTTCAAAGTTGTATAAGCTCATCTCTGTGTCCATAGTGAAATTTCGTAAGGAGCTCTCCCCCATTTTCTGCAATCGTTCATTCATTTCAGCTGTCTAAAAACACGGGAAAATACTTTTAGGCTCACTCAAACAGTTTCATCTTTTCTAAAAGCAACACCTTTCATCATTATGAAAACATTCTCAATGTCTTTTTCTGCTTTAAACTTTATCTTACATCCTTCTTGCTAGGAAATGCCTGTAGTGCTTTTCAATGTGACTCCAAGACTTTTCATTAAACTAAATTTATTATGCTGGGATGTATACCTACAACCGTATGATGTAACTTTCAAATTTAAATGAAATTTATGCCCAACTCTTTGGAGCTGAAATGGCAGTTCGTTTTTCCACAGAGTTACCTATTCCCTAACAAAGTTCCACAAAGGTTTTTGTCTATTAGAATTGTCGGCATAATTTATATTTTTCTAAATGCCTACAAAATAAACAGTGCTTAAGAAGTGATGCACACAATCTGAACTTTGAAAATAATTATAACTCACTAATTCTACTTCAAAAATTTCATAAGTTTTAAAATATTTACTAATAGTAAAGTAATAGTTGGGCATAAAAACAGATCACATAATCTAATTTTTCTTTTGTGCATATATATTTAATGTTTAACACACTTTGAATTCTGTACAAAACTGTTCTCTAACCTTCTTTTCACCTCTTTCTAAAATAGTGGTTATATCTTCTTCTGTCAGCTCACTATCTTTGGAAGCAAAAACATGCGTGGCTCCATGGCGGATCATCTGCAGCATTTCATCTTTTGCCAGTTTGTTAGACTGTTGGTCTATGAGCCTTCCTAAAATTAGAAGAAACATGTTGAAAGTTATAACGTGAAAGTTCTAGCAGGATCATGCAAACAGTGGATTTTTTTTAGTTCTCCAGCAGAACAAGAAAGGGAAAAACAAAAGAACCATACAGGAAAAAAATACATTTCACTTGAGTAAAAAAATAAACAGAAATCGTGAACTCCAGGGAATATAAAAAAAAAATAACTTTGGATCAAGTCATAACAAAGAATGTCTCACATTCAGATAATACAGATTTTATGTTTAAGATCTTACTCTTACAAAGTTAGCTGAACTTTTAAGATCAAAATCCTACTGCAAGTTGAAAAATGAAGTACTTTGCAATAACCATTAAGAAGTACTTAAGATTTTTAAACACTCACTTCACTGATTTCAACCCAAATCTCTGAATATTTTTGCCAAAATTCTAAATTTCTGTCCCAAAATTTCACTTATCCTATCTCTTCACAGACCATCACAATTTTGATCATCATCCTTTCAGTAACCCACCCTTTAGGAAATACAAACAACCTTCAAAGCTTAGCTTGAGAACCTTCAGTTCTGTCAAACTATTCTTCCAAGAGCTTCTAAACAAAGACACACAAAGCAGTTTTAATGTTCAGTAAATTCATACGTGGTAAGAAGCACATCTATATAATTATTTCTATCTGACATGGAACATAGCTTTTTTTCTTTTTAGCATACTCAGCTGTAGTTTGCTTTTGTCATTTAAAGTCTAAGTTTATGCCCAAATTATTGAGAAAAATAAATTTTTTTAAAAAATTTCCACTGAACAAGTGAATAACTTATACATTATAGTTTCTTAGGTTGACTTAGTGTACTGCTATTACACACAAGGCCTGCTTTCTCTCATTCTGTACATTTGTACAGTTATTGAACCCATACTTTAAGGGACTGAACAATTCTGTTGCAGACAAACATATATAGCAGTTGATACCTTGTTGTATAACTATAGAGTCCAGTCTCAGTTTTATTTCAGCTCTTTCTACAATCCTCTCTTCAACAGTATTATCAGTGATTAGTCGAAACACCCGTACTGGTTTCTTTTGACCAATACGATGCGCACGATCCTAACAAACATAAATCAATGAGTGTTCAGCAACAAAAACTCACAAGCAACAGGCAGTTAGCTTGCTAGACAGCAGAAACAGCACACTGAAACTTTCACATATTTCTTTGTTCATTACTTATTCAAGATTATACAAAAACATAAAACCAGTATAGTAATATTTACTTATATCTGGCTATTACACCTTGTAAGTTTGGGTCATTCTATAGCAATAAATGCATCTATACCCCGTTGCAAATTAAGATAACTGAACGTCTGTCTAAACTGCAGTTGGGATGTGGAGATGCAACAGTATATGCACACACACATCCCCACTGCTTTCAAACTAATTCTCTCACTTGATGTAGGTATTGAAACTTTGTCATCTCTGGCTTGAGGACACCAATTTCACGGGCAAAGTCCATGCAGCCACAGCTTCAATCCTGGAATTGTCCCAAGCTGGCTACATTAAAGTATCAATATGCAGCTCACAGTAAGGTACAGTACACAGTAAATTAGGTGGTATGTCTAAAATACTATACTTATCTCTAACAAAACTTGTGTTTATTCTCTCCAGAAAATATAAAAAAATATTATTTTGTCCTCTTAAATAAATAAACAAGTGGCCTTCAAGCTGTTGGTACCAGGATTTTCTGACTGTCCTTTAAAGATGAGTCGTTAAGTCTTCTACTCTCCTGCATAATACTAATTTCTTCCTGAAAATCCTACTAAAGCTCACAAATCACACTCATCAGTTTCTAGGAAGTTGATCTACTATTGGTAGTCAGCATGCATATCGAAAAGATGAGGTATTCACTGTAAATATTTTATGTGTTTAAGGGCATTAAAAAAAACACCCAAACAAAAACCAAAACAAGCCACAAACCACAAAACAAATACCACATCCCCGCAATCATGAAAAAAGAATCGTGATTTTTATTCCACATGAAACAAATTACAGACTTGATTTTATGTAAGCACTCAGAAGACTTCAGTATTTTTAACCCAAAGATAAGTGTTTGTTTTTTTCCCCTGACGTCACCACCAAATGACTTTACGCTTATGCAGAAACAAGGTGTGTTGCAAAAGCATAAGCTTCCAAAAAGGGAGGAATATAAAGCTGTATGCTTTTAGTTCTTTGCTATTGTTTTGGAAACAACCCTCAGTTATTCATTTACTGTTGTCTTCTGGAAAGACAGAATTAAGAATAATTCTAGGGATAAAAAATATTGATACAGTATTTTGACAAAAGTAGTTTTACTCAATTATGAAAATAATTAAGACAGATATTTACAGAGAAAAAAATTTCTTCCACAATTCTTCTGTTCATGCCCTTTTCATTCACTTCCTTAGTTTCTTGGTATTAAATACAAAAAAGTAAAGAAAAATAACAAAAATGCAAATTCTGGAAACACTTGTAGAAAACAGAGCAATAACAACTTCAACAAACGACTGGGTATCAGGGAGCTAACTCACCATGGCTTGCAGATCTACTTGAGGATTCCAATCTGAATCATAGAGAATAACCACATCAGCAGTTGCCAAATTAATTCCAAGACCTCCAGCTCTGGTACTCAGCATGAAAATGAATTTACTGCTGTTGGGAGCATTAAATGTGTCTATTGCTTCCTAAAAGAAAAAAAAAGTGTATCAGAATTTTCAAACAAGTCTCCACTATTTTGGTGGCTTTTCAATTAACTTTCTTTGAAATTTACATATAAAAACAACTTTTTTTATAGAAGTAATAAACTGTAGGTTTGCACAGGTGGAAAAATCTATCCCGAGTCCACAATATATTACATTTTTCATGTAGTTGAGGAACAAGTGAAGCCTACTTTTCTGTGGACTTTGCTTAGGAAAAACATATACCCTTAGCAGCCTTTTTAAACTGCAGCATTTTTGCTTTAAACAATGACGTAGCTACTTACAGTCAATAGTAATTGCTTAATAATCTAATCTGTAAGACAAATTTCTTGTTTATATACAACTTTCTCACCTCTCTTTCTTCATGTGGTGTCTGTCCATCAAGTCGACAGTACTCGTATCCACGCCACATGCAATAGTCTTCTAAAATATCCAGTAAGCGAGTCATCTGACTAAACAGCAGAACTCTGGAACCTGACAGAACAACACAGAAACATTTGTCTTAGCTTTATATTTTCACATTAATCTTATCACAGAGCCTACTATAGAGCATGAGTAAGAAATCATGTGAAATACTCTTACTATGCCTAACTTATTTGAATAAGTCTTTCCTCTGTAGTTACTTTTCTGGTATTGATTTTACTTCTCCTCAAGACAGGTTATTTGATAATTTATACAGAAGAAACACACAGCTGAAGAAGCAGAATACTTAAAACCACTGCAAGATAAGCAGCTGACTACTGATGTGCACAAACTAAACCTCTCAGACATTTTCTTAAAGACAGCAGAAGGCAGGCTCTGCTCTTCCTTTCCTTCTACTCCTCCATATTAGTCTTCAACATCATTCCTGTAAGACTTCCTTCCCCCCGTGCGTTAAGATCTACAGAAACATTATTTTCAACAAAAAACTCACTGAAAGTAATGAATGCTTTCACTGGAAGAAAGACAAGAATGAATCTCTACAATTTTTGAAAGGCAGTTTTACTTACAATGAGAATTTAGACCACTACTGTTTGTAAATGGTACTCACCTTGCTCTCTGAGTTTTGCTAGCAGTTTATCCAGAACTAACATTTTACCACTGTTAGTGATGAGATGTGTGTCGGTGGTATAAGGGGGGCCTGGCTCAGCACCATCAAATAGGTAAGGATGGTTACAGCATTTCCGCAGCTGCATCAAAATATTCAGCAGACGCATCTTATCCATTTTTCCAGCTGAATTCAGGATATCAATATCTTTCATCAGGATCCTAGTATACCTGAAGTTTTACAGGTAATTTTGAACAACTTTAATTTTTTATTTGATACTTAAAACATGAATGAAACCCTGAAATATCCCAGTTACTTATTTCTGGATGTGGGAGTTTGCTTTGTTTATATAATAATGAGCTATATTACAAAACTTGGCAAAAACATCTTGACTGATAAGGATTTATAAAACCACACCTAAATACAAAAGGTAATTTGTCTGTGAGTGACAATGATCTCTCATTTATTGGGTTATGGATTCAAGATACCATTTATTTCACTCAAGTTGCTACACTGATCTGGCTCCTTTTCTCACATCTCTTCTGGGTACATGGCTCCCAAGGTGTTACCAAATTTCAGCTCAGACTTTTACTGGTACATACACAGTAGCATCAAAGGAGGAAACTTAGTTTAATGAAGGAAAAGTTTCTGCTTTCTTCCTCCCAACCCTTTCCATTACCCTTCCTGAGCCCTTTGTAACTTGTGCATCTTTAAAAAAAGCTCCAAAGACAACTATAAATAGGCTTTACCTGTCTTAACATGCAATTACAAGAAAAAAAAAAATCAATGTGAAGAGGTGTAGTGCTCTTTATCAGAAAAGAATCTTACTTTAATGTAAATAACTTACCATTCCCGCTGCATTTTGCTGAGCCCAAGATAAATTTTTACTTCTTTCTTTGGAGGCAAACTCTTTTCTACTTCAGCTTTTATGCGACGTAATAAAAATGGTTTCAAAACCTACACAAATTAAGAGTTTTTCCACAGATAAATTTATAAAATTGATTGCCTCAAATACAAAATTATCAGTTATCTGATATCTATTCAGAATTAATCATTATCTATTGCTGTTATGATGACTTGTTCAGAAAAATTCTGCTAAAGTCTGCAAAATGAAGTTGTCGGCTAAAAGGCTAAGTTTACACATAAATATGTAACACTAAATAAAGATTGCCATATCCATCCCAGTTGTTATCCTAAGCATGGGCCAAGCTAAGAAGCTTGTAAAAGCTATTTATTACATTGTAACACAAGCTGTTTAATTTCAGCTAGCAGCATATACAAAATACATCAACATTTCAAAGATAAACAGCGCACGTTGTGCTTCCTTCTGACTCCTTACTGTACAATGAAAAAAGTCTTTTGTCTCATACACAGTAAAACAAAGGTAAAGGCATGCCTTTATTCAGACTAGCATGACGTGTGTCTGTATACTCCTCACAATAATAAATGGTTTCAAAAAGATCCTAAAATTCTTCATTTTCACATTTTATGTACAGATTTTGTCTCCTTCAAACAGTAATGTTACAAAAAGCAGCATCTATAATAGTAAGTTCCAATATTTAATTCATGAAAATTCTGTTGGGCGTTTCTCTAACTAAATAACTTCACGTTCATCTTCTCAACTTTGAGATGAAGGGGGAAATAATCTGTTTTTCTTTTTCACACTGTGTATGCTAAGGATGACACATGATTACAGCTTTAATTACTTACAGCATGAAGTCTTTCTACAAGTTTCTGATCACCAAGACAATTTTTAGTGTCAAACCATGAGTCAAAATCCTGTGGTGAGAAACAGCACAATTGGTATGAACACCTTATCATCTGTAGTTTTAACAGACACATACTGACTCTCTTTCACTCCAGCTGAGTGTAGCATAAATCTTGAGACAAATCACTTCTATGAGTGAGAGAAAAATCAGTCTGCAATTCTGTGCCAGCTCCCCAGCATGTTGTAACATTCAAGTCAACTAAGCAACTCTGGACCAAATACTATTACTCTGCTTAATTTACAATCGTTTTCCATGCTCATCACTGCAGTGTCCAAGTTCTTCCCCGTAATGCTTGTGTAATGATGTGGCAAGAAGGTAAAAAAAAAAACCCAGAATCCTTAAGTAAATGAGATGGACAACAGAGAAAAAACAAGGGAAGCAAGCAATACAAGTACAAGGAAACATTAACAATAAAAGAGGAGAAAGACTACTCAAATTCTAAATGAATAAAAGGCTTATGCCTATTTGGCTGCTTCACACTCTTCATTCTGCATTGCTTTCATGCATTTTGTTCCACTTCGCATAATTCCTGAACTATTTAAAGTATTACACTACCCATTACTGGCCTAAGAAATTATCAATGCAGTTTTAACCAGGTAGAGCAAAAAAAGTAGTCTACAGTTAGGTAAGCCACAGAGCTTCTACTGAATCCTGGTCTTCCACATCGTATGTCAATTACTAGGATGGTCATTCTCATCTGCAGAAAGCAGCCTGGAAATCAAAATGACAAGAACAAGACTGCTTCCAAACTTCAACTTACATCTGCAGAATTGAAGACATCAGGTAAAAGAAAATTCAGTAATGCCCACAGCTCATGGAGGTTATTCTGTAATGGAGTTCCTGTAAGCAGCAATCGATTTGTTGTCTTGAACTCACGTACAATCTCTGACAGCTAGAAACACGACAAATGGTTATCATCATCATGTACATTTCAGCATAATGAATTTTCACCAGTTTCTGAAACCTGAAACAATGTAAACTAAATTTAAAGACAGTGAGCTACCTATGAAATTCATATTTACCACCCAACAGTTTAATGGCTTATATTTAAAAAAAACACCACACCTAACACTTAAAATCTGCTAAAATCAGATGGAATCTTTTGTGTCAAATAATCTTCAAGTATCAAATAATGTTGCGTTTACCTTAGACTTCTCATTCTTTATTCTGTGGGCTTCATCAATTACCAGGTATCTCCAGTTAAATTTCTTGAAGACTGATTTCTCTTTAATTACCATTTCATATGATGTAACACAAACATCCCATTCACCAGGCATCATAACATCACGGATAAACGCAGCCTAAAGTAGAAGAATTAAATCAATAAACATTTATAAATATGAACAATTTACATGAAATTCAGTGAAACCTCTCTGCCAACATTACTGACATGCTAAGCTAGAAGACAAAAGACGACTGAACCACCCTTCCAGTAACTGAAAGTTACTGTAGCAAAAGCCTCCAATCCCTTGTACTTGAGGCACAGACAGATCATTAGCTGGGGTTAAGCAAAACACAAATTTTCCCCTACTCAAAATTAAATAATCTTCAGCATATTTTTTCCTCTATTAGACACAGTAAATACTACCAAAAGGAAAAAAGCCCTTTAATCTAACTAGTCCAAAGACAGTTGGACACAGGTAACAAAGCGGGAGCAATGAAGGAAAATGAATAAACACTGCCACAAGGCAAACACAGAAGAGATCAAAAAAAAAGGTGCAAAAATCAAAGAAGAAGGCAACAGAAAAAGAGGTAAGTCAGACAGTTGTCCAGTCTATGATTTCACCTATTGATTTGCATTTTTTTCTTCAGTTACAAGCATAACATTTTGCATTTTCAACACTAATATAGTTAAAGATTACTAAAAAATACTGTAATTAAGGGAATAGCTTTGGGAGAATTCCATATACCCAAATGCTAGTTTGACAAATACCACATACATCTTTGAAATGTAGAGCACTTACTCTGGCATCTTTATCTCCAATAAGGCAAACGGCCCGTAACGATGGAACCCAGCGTTTGAATTCATTCATCCAATTGTGCAACGTTGATTTTGGAACCAGGACCATGTGTGGCCCAGGAATGTTTCGGTAATGCTTCAGATAGCCTAATAACGCTATTGTTTGCAGAGTCTTACCGAGACCCTGCATTGACAAAGAGGGGAAGGGAAGAAACCTGCTGAAATGAAATACCATACAGAAATAGTTTCAAACCATTTTCCTACTATATACATCTGCCACTTAAGTTGTTTAAAGCCAACTACACAGCAAGTGTTTGCAATACAATTTCTTTCACTGCATTACAATTCCAGTTGTGAAAAATCTAACTGTTGTAGAACAATGCATACTACTGCATATACATTAAATACTATAGGCACTTTAATGTTGAATTTTGCTCAATAATTACTACAAAAATTACAAAAAATTACTGCTTACCATTTCATCTGCCAGAATGCCATTAACACCATTTTCATACAATGAGATCATCCAGTTCAAACCTCTAACCTGATAATCCCTTAGTGTTCCTCCTTTCACATCTGTAAATGTAAGATTCCTCTAAGTAGAAAAATACTAATTCTAAGTAGAAAATTTTAATTGCGATCTGCTCAGATTTCAATTACATCAAAGCAATCAGAAAGCTGTCAATATAATACTTACATGAAGGAGATTCTTCAAATCGAATACACACATTAGATGTTTTTCGACTCTCTGACAACAGCTCCTCATCTTCTTCTTGTTCTGTGCGCCTGTGACGATAACTAAAGAAAGAATCCAAGACTCATGTTTATATGAAATAATTTTGAAACACTGACAATCAAGTCAAAAGAGACAAATTATAACAGAAACAATCATCAATCTACAGTGTGTGTTCTGGTACCCTGACCAAAATCCTATCTTGTTAATAAGTTATTCTTCATGGTTCATTCCAGCTTTAACTAGAAAGGCTGATACGAAGCCCTCTCCTGCAGGTGGATGGAACCCATCATGACAGATGAAAGCATAAGAAGTTGGAAATAAAAATAAAACATACTCCCCAGCTGAAATTAAACTCTGTTTTTCATCTTTCTTCATCCGTGGCCGTCCCAGCTTGACTTTCAATGGCGATGTTGGTGATTTTTGTGCTGCAGGCTGAATAAAATGTGCAAAAAGTTCCGTCTGCTTCAGGAGGAATTCAAACCTTTTTGCTCGATCTGCTTTCTACTTTCCAAAGGGGGGAGAGAATAAAAAAAAAAAAAATCAGTAACTTTTCTTCATAGAAAGTGTCCTTCTCTATATTTAAAAGACATGATACATAATGTTGAAGTAAAATACGATAAAATGTGAATACTATCTGACAGAATGCAGTTGTTCTCAGTTTCCCTTTTCCATTTCTAAGTATCATGTAACTGTACCACTTAAAGAAATTTTCACGTGATCTCATTTATCTATCTTGATATACACTACAAAAGTAAAACTGTAGTTCTGTACCATCACCTAAGAAATATACAAACAGAATGCTTTTCTGAAGGTAACTCACATGCAAGTAAAAGTGCTCTAACAGCAATAACAAACGAAAACAGGCAATAAAAACGAACCTGACACGCAATGCATGATCTTGCCACATGAGGGCAATGCATTTATTTTAATAGTGCACAACTTATCAGTAAATAAACATCTTTACAAAGATTTAGAAAAAAATTACTATTATTTTTCCCTTGCATTCATTATTGTACCTTTGTGTAAATAACTTTAAAACCAAATAAACTGTAAATATCAAGTAAAACTTTCAGGGAAAAAATAAATCTAAAAGGGGGAGTAAAGACATAGATGTTTATGCTCATACAGGGCAAGAACAAATCCACTCAGAGGATTTATATTAAACTAATAATATATGATGGTTTTCACAAGCTAATCATAACTGGCAGGGTTCTATACTTTTTTACAATATACTTTTTTGCCTGCAAAATTATCAGCTGGGTGTTAAGCAGCATGCCTTAATAAATAGTAAAGGTCTAGCTCATGACTGCACAACTGATGAAAAGTAGAATTTTTTTTGAGATCTATTCCCTTTGTCTCTTAGCACAACTGAACTAACATTCTAATTTAGGAAAGATGTAAATTCACCATGTATTATTGTGAAACCAAGTTTAGTTATTTGTTCAACTCATTCTCAACAAACAGATTTACTTGTGTGTCTCCTCTTTGGCTAAAAATTAAGTACTCATACAAATAGGCATCACTTTTTCTACGTCTAACAGTGATACTCTTCCCTTCTACGGTATCCAATCCTTTCAGACTCCAATGTAATTATTAGGCATCCACATAATATCAAAGCTTTTAAGATAAATGCAGCAAGATACAGACACTAGCTTCAACCAAGAACTTATTACACGTGTCATTCAAGAACAAGACTTGTAATGTCCTCCTGGTTTATCCCTCTTTGTAATACAGAAGTTACCCTGTTATCTCTCCTCTCCAGCACTACAGGTTCCCTTCATTTGTGTCATGGACAGATCCTCTCTCGTATTGTTATGGCACATATATAATGGGGCATATCAACATTTAACACTTTTATGGTTTTATATTATGAGAAACTGGCAGCTTCAATACTTCTCTCATTTTAGTAGTAGTTTAAGGATGTCTCCAACATGACTCAAGGGGCCATCAAACAAAACTAGCAGAGACAGATTCAAAACCAAACGGGGAGAGTCCTAAATATAAAACGCAATTGAATAGAAACGCCTTACCACAGGAGGGTGTGGATAACTAAACCTACATGAAAGGAAAAAAAGCAAGCAGACAAATCCATGGGGGAAGAAAGAAAAAACAAAAAGTCCACTGACATCTACTGAGTACAAAAACCACAGCCTCCAACTGCAGAAATAATGCAGGCAAAAACACTTGAAAGAGTGGGACAGAACTATCACTATCTGCATCCTCTGCTCTCGCATTCTTCACTGAATACCTACTGTTAGCCACCATGAGAAACACCACGCTGGACCAGACATTTAAATGAATCTTGGTTTGGTTTTTTGACAGTAAATGTGTGGATCTAGTTCAAGCCAGCAAACACAATAAAAAGCTGCAGTATGCTTTGTCATGAAAACACTTACCATCTTTTCTTCATATTCCGGGTCAACTTCTTTTTCAGGTCTAGCTGCCTTTGGAGGAAGCTTGAGTTGAAACGGGGGATCATTTTTCTGGAATTCAAATTTTAAATACCTTATAAATACCAGCTTCTTTATTTATTAAAGCAAAAAGATATCAAACTGAACAAATCTACACACTACAAGATAAGCATGCTACTTTTTAAAAATAATTATTTCAAAATGAAGTGACTGTATTTATCATATTATTTCACCCAAAGCAGAACCTGATATCCATGATGAAACAAAAAACAATAAGATAAAATGTAAGTTGAAGATTTGCCTCCTCTTCATGTTTATCTCTACAAATAGGATCCAAGTTGAAAGCATTGAAAGAAAGTACTGGACGAGGATGAAGTTTAATCTTTCATAGACATCTTGCTTTAACTGCATAATTAAATTTAATATCTTGAAAAGATTTAAAAAAAAAAATAAATGTGATTTCTAAATGCAAAATTCCTAACTACATCTTTGCCACTTGCATCTTAGTTGTGTTTTGTTTGTTTTCACTTCTAGATTAATAGTTCATTTGGAAATACAGGTTTAACTACACTTAGCCATATACCCAGGAAAAGGCACAAATTAAACAACCAAATCAATCCACACAGCAACCACTGCATGGTATGCTCTTAGTTAACAAAAAACTACTTTACTTACTATAAATAAAAGAAACTTAAGAAACTGTAACAAATATGGCTGGCCTCTGTAGTTTATGAGATTCATTTCTCTCTTAAATTGGGAAGCTCAAAGCAGGTTCCCACAACTTTAACTGCTCTATTGGTATACATATATAAAAAAAGCTGTCAAAAACCATGACATTGGCAAAATATCCTCTTTAATAAGAGAATTGTGGGAGAAATGTTTGGTCAAACTTTTTTTCCCTAATTCAGCCTTTTGAAGTATGCCTTTTTATGCACCTCCTGCAATTAAAAAAGAAAAAAAATGAGGTGCATCAAATTATAAAAGTTTTTGAAAAGCACTGAATAACCGGAAAGGAACTGCCAAAGTGCAAGTCTGTATAAAATGTAACAGAGCAGAGTCTTAATCTGACAAGTGCTTTAAGTATCAGCCTACTACAAATACATTAAAATGAAATAATAAATAAACTATTCAGGGTCAAGTAGCAAAACCAGACCAAAATGGGACTAAATATGTAAAAGTCTGTCAAGGAACATTAAATTTCAGAACTGTTACTGATAAATATATAGGCCAACTTACTTTTTAAGCACAATTATGCAAATGGAGGAATATCTTCTGAAGGTACTGACAAAGCAGCACAACTCAAAATTAGGAGAATCCCTTCTAACTGCAAGGTTTCCAAGTAAAATGCAATGCAATATTATCTTACTAAGCCCCAAGGCAGACGGCTCAGTATTCACATTTCCCCAGAAGAAGAAAATTTATGGCAGCATACAAATCAAATTTATTCAGAAATAAGTATTTGTGAAGAATATACTCTGAGTTAAAGAAGTAAATGAAGTGACACATAAAGTTACAGCAGCCACAGCAGTATCTAATCACGTCCTACACCTTACTTTCCCAGTAACACACAGTTTCCCTGCCTCCCCACTCCTCACTGCAGTTTCTGTTGAACATGGCCCCAAAATATTAGAAATAACAAACAGAAGACTGTCAAAAGCTGATGAAAAAGACTAACAACTTAACACACATGCATCCCAATACCCTTTCACTTCCTCATAACTTACAAGGGAAAAGAATATGCTGTAGTTTCACTAAAATACTTTTCTGTGATGGGGCTATAATGAGGTAGTAGGTACAAGCATCATATCCAAACTTGCTTCTGCGTAATGTTCCGAGTTATAAAAATCTAGATCTTGTCAATTATTAAATTCTGATATGAGTAAGAATATTTCTCTCTTACTACCAAGTGGATTATGTACCTAATATGACACAGAACCACAAAATATTTAATCAAGTCTGGGAGAGTTTTACCCTAGAAACTTTACCCAATGCATCTCCATCACTTAGAGAGCTGACTTCACAGGAAACAGGAGGATCAGCAGAAGCCTCAGTTCAAACACTTAATTAACCAGCAAAAAAAGTACTTTCATTTTTAACTCAAGGAGCTAGCTGGTAACAATCTGCCTCTACCCTAAAAAAGTTTTCCAATAAAGATTAAACCCTACACAAGAGAGTCCCCTGAAAACTGGTGTCATTTAAACACCTTACAAGAAACATGACGATGCAGCAGTTGCAAAAATAACAGACCCTGAGTATTCCAAGGATCCAAAATACCTCCTCTTGAAATCTCTATTAACTAGCCTAAACAGAGCTACTAACTTCAGGCTGAGAGAGAGAACTCTATCTCTGACTTCTGGTAAGTGCAATAGTTAGTCCTAAATTGGGTAGGTCATGTGGACACCTAAATAAATGACTGGGAATGAGAACTGCTGCTTCTTTAGTTGACTTTACTCTTGTAACTCGTGCTACTGAGAACTTCAAACAGATACATTAAGAATAATTAGAAGGATATGTTTAACTCACACATACAAAGTGGAAATACATTCCAAATAGCCATTAAGACACTGTTTTGGTACCACAACAAGAAGAAAGGTTATTTATAGTGAGGTAAAAGAGTGAGAGGGGGGCAGAGCACAACAGGCTGTATTATATGTCATTATTATGCAGATCATATAACCAAATGTATAGGTATGTAACAGACCTGGGGCCCAACATGAAGTCAAATTCCACAGTCTGAATAAAAACCTCAAACAGCAAAAATATGTTTGTTTGGGTTCCGCCCCCCCCCCCTTTAAGAAACATATTGACCAGTAGGGCACAGCAGCACAATGTTGATAATACTCAAAACCATTCACTGCTTTCAAATTATTTCTCCAGGCAGCCATTCTCTCAAAATTTTAGTACCAACTTTTTATCAGCTGACATGCATAAAATTTTGCAGAAAAAAGTTGTATCCAATACAGAAATAGCAGTTAAACTTTTTCCCCATGAACAGTCAGGGAATGTTCAGAATTACACTGTGCTGTATCTTGTAGCAGTTTGTATACATTAGTAAAATGCAAAAAGGCCAAAATGGCCTTCCATCTATTGGAATTAAAATTCTGATTGCACTAATAGAAATATTCCTGCAGTTTTATCCAATATCAGAAAAATATGATACATGGTCATCATTAAGTCCGTATAAGATTCATTCTTCAGGTTCAATCTTGTCCAGTTTCCAAGAATACCCGAATACACGGTTTTTTCCATTCCTTATGCCCTAGCCTAAAGGGTTTTTTCCAAAAGAAAAAACAACAAAACAAAACACCAACCAAACAAACCCACAAAACCAAAACAACCACAACTAAAGAGGAGGCTGGCAGC